GTGGAGGTGGAAGACTTGGGGAGTCGGCTAATAGTGGACGGCAACTCATACCCAAAGGAAAAAGAGGAGGAATTTGGCGGTGAGGTATCAGTGTCTTTTTTAAGGGCACGGCCCCCTATGGGGGGCTACCCAAGCGACACAAGCGAGTAGCTCAAAAAGTTAAGCCAGCGGCGGTGGGCCGCGAGCGATCGACACTGGAAGGGGTATCAGAAGAAGAGATCATGAAAGAAATCAAAGAAAGAAAGAAAAAAGAGCCACAACGCCTTACGGAAGAGAGAATAGCAGGAATGGATATCGGAGATGAAAATCTGACCCCACAGGAGCGAGGACGTGTGATAGAAATTCTGAAGACATGTGATAAGGCAATAGCTTTCAGCGACGCGGAGCGCGGTAGGATTGACCCTCGATACGCTAAGCCAGCGAGGATTTATACGATTCCACATGTTCCTTGGAATGAGGCAAGATGGAAATACGCCCAGAATGAGAAGGAAGAAGTTATCGCATTCCTGAAAGAAAAGATGGTTTCCCACGTTGCGGAGCCGTCTGATAGCGCTTATGCTAATCGATGGTTCTTCCTACGAAAGCCGAATGGCAAGATCCGATGGATCCAAGACCTTCAGAAGGTCAACGCGGTGACGATACGAGACGTGGGCTCCGTGCCACACACCGATTTACTGGCAGAAGGCGCAGCAGGTAGGTCGATCTATTCGGTCTGTGATCTGTTCTCAGGCTATGATGAGGTACCACTTGACCCTTAGGACAGGTACCTCACGGCTATGCATATGCCATTGGGACTAATTCAAATGATGGTTGTCCCTATGGGATGGAATAATGGGGTAGCCGTTTTTCAGAGAGCCATGGTAGCCGTCCTCAAGGACTTCATCCCTGATAAGGTTGAAGTTTTTCTGGATGACTTTCCTATAAAAGGGCCAGTAGATAGGGATGAGACAGAGGTTGTACCTGGAGTTAGAGGATTCGTCGAGCAACACCTAACAGATATTTGCGCGGTACTCGAGCAGCTGGACGATGCGAATTTAACAGTCGGTGGAACAAAGAGCCGATGGGCCGTCTCGACTATTAAGATCTTGGGTTTTATTTGTGACTCGAGAGGACGCCGAGCAGATCCGRCGAAGTTAGACAGACTTCTGAACTGGCCCTCACCGTTACATAGCCCAACCGAGGTCCGGCAGTTTCTAGGAGTGGTCGGTTACTGGCGTATATTC